GTTGTAAACCGATTAACCGAGTCGGTAGAACATTTTGCACTCGTCTTTCCGGTTCTCCTTTGACGAAGACAACAACCGAACCGCCGAAAAACTTGAAACCCACCTCGTAGCACAGCGGACTATGGATAACAAAGATCAGATTTATTCGTCAGTTTTAGCGGCGCGAAGGATCTCTCTCGATCCCGTTAAACGCAGAAAAGTTTCTCTTTTACGAAAGTTTCCTTGTCTATCAGCTAGTCGACTCGCGTTTCCTTGATCGCAAATGTCCGATATTACGAATACACGTATATTTACTCGATGAAAATGACTAAATACACTCTGGATGACGCGAATTCATTGTCGGATGTCGGTGATACGAATGCCTGCGTAAAACGAATCATTCACGTGACGAAAAGATCCTTTGTTTTGACTCGAAACGACTCGGCTTCCACTTTTCACTTACCAACCACGAGCAGGGCGAAGATCGTGCAAAGCAAAAGCAGCTTGTTACGCATGCTGCCTGTTTTTGGCTTCCCCGATGATCTAGTTTCCTTTTCGATCGGCTTTCTTGTGAGATTGTCCGCTGCGACGATGCGATCTAGGATCTCCGCGAAGATCGATGCTGACTGTTGGACGGCTGGCCCGTTACTGAAACGCTTCCAACCGGAAACATTCACGCTTGCACACGCTGAACTCGGTTCGGACTTGCAGCGTTGCGTCTGTCCGGGGCTTTCTCCTTGCATCGATCTTTGACGCGATCGAGATCAAGTGGTAGGGATCCAGCGATCCGACACCGAGACAAAGTTCGCGGAACGAGCGAAGCTCTTTGTGAGGCAACCATGGCAATGACGTGGTTCCGAGTTGTAAACATTTTGTTAATATTCGCGCATAATCTTTCCATAATAGGAGATCGATTACTACGTAATTATTCAATTAACTATCATCAATCATCGATCATGTAATCAATTATTACGGAAACATCGTGTAATTGTATTCCTTATGTTTCAGCGCAAATTAAATTTTAAGTCATTGAAGTCCCGCGCTACCAGAAATGTTTGAAGATACTCCGTGGCATATAATAGATCGTAATTATATTTGTATACTTACATACTTTCGATTTATAAATAATATACAAATTTAATGCTACAAATTTCTTAACGATTTTCATGTTCGCCAATTCTATTTTATTTACAACATATCATTAATTGCGTCGAGGCTCATATCCGCACATACAGCACCGGTATCCTTCTATCTTAGAATACAGGAATACCAAGATCAAGAACTAAATTTCCAAAATACAAAAACGAATGGGTGTAAATGTCGAATCTTGTCCCACCGAGCGAAATCGGGCATAGATCGTTAGATCTCGCGTAGAAACATATCGTGTACAACGCCATTTCCAGTTCAGGTGTAGTACCCACGAATATTGTCGCGTTTGGTCTGACGATTCCGTCCATTTCGAAGTTCAGTTTCAATAGAGAAGCATTCTGAAAAGTAACAATTGTGGTACCATGAATGCAGAACGTTCTACTTCCAGTAATAATTTTGCACCGAGCGTTTGCTTAGTTACTTACATTTCCAAGTTTCAATTGTTTCGTGTAGCCCATGTAATTTATACGCATCGAGGATTCTCGATTCGCAAAATACAGCCAATCTTGAACGCCAATGATCGCAGTGCCATAATTTTCTGACTCGAATACGCGTTCGAATCCGCATGTGCTTCCGCTGAAGGTCGTAAACCAGATACGTCGAAGCACGTCTTTTCTTTCAAAGTCGTCGGGATCGATGAATCCACGATCCCCTAGCCATTGCATAGCCATCGCCATCACGTTCGTATTCAAGTATGTGTCTATCAAAAGGTTCTCATGTTCTCTTGTTCCTTGAGTGCGATTTATCTTTTGTTGAAAGTCGTGTTCGTAATTATCATACAAAGTATGCGTTACGTAAATCGAAGGATATGCCAACACCGCTGAGTCTACCTGGAACAAGCTATAAAATGACATTAAAAATGAAAAAACAAAGACGGCATCAGGGAATCTCGACATTAACTAGCCAAAACAATTATTTCGACGTACGGCTGTTTAGCTTCATCCGTCGCGTTGGTCGATGTAGACTGTTTCTGCAAATTTAATTTTATGTATTTAGATATGTCGTTTGACATCGCGAACATGTCTTCCGTTATTTTGAAGATTTCATTATCAGAAATCTTGTAGAGTGCATTGTTGTTGAGGTTGGAACCAGCAGATAAATTAGTTTGATTCTTTGTTGTTGGATTAGATTGCATTGTCGGTGCAACTCCGTTTCCATTTGCCATGTTTCCAGTTGCAATGTTTCCATTTGCCATGTTTCCAGTTGCAATGTTTCCAGTTGGAATATTTCCAGCAGGAACCGTACCAATACCGCCGTTAACGGTTCCTTGTGGAACAGTACTATCTGTATAGTAATTGTTGTATGTAATGTGAGTTGTAGTCGTTGGAGGACTGTCCGGTTTGCTTTCCACACGAGTATGAACAGGATTGATCAGCCTATTTATTCCCGCGTTGATTGTAGAATATATAAGCGCTTCTTTAACCATGTCTCCTATATTTCGACCACTGCCATGATCTGGTTGCATGATTAACACTGTTTGACCAGGAACAAATGGCTGCATCGCAGGTTGTGCAAACATTTGGGGTTGTGGATTGTAAATTGGTCCGGTAGTCTGGACGTTTCCCGAATAATGTAGAGCGTACGGATTTCCCATTGGCATCGAATTTTGCTGATGAATCGGAGGAGAATAAGATGGATACACGTGATTTTTAAACCCGATTGGAGGAGGTGGAAGACCCTGTGACGCTGGGTGATTAGAAGTTGAAGAAGGATGACTCCATGGAAGACTCGTTTGGCTCGGCCTATTTGGTTGATTGGAATTGGGCTGAGAACTGTTCACTGTATGTGTTTGAGCCGAATTATGTCGATGATGGTTGCCTAGAGGATGCGGTTGACTTGGACTATTTGGTTGGTTGGAACCTGGGTAATGGTTATATACTTTATATTTTGCGATATGTTATTTTATCAATGTAACTTCTGGTAAATATACCTTGTTTGGGAACTGTGGTTATTCCTGCAGACGGTGCATAAGGAGGCGCACTTTGTTTCGATTCTGTTATAGTTCCTGATTTATCATGATGAACAATTTGACCTGTTTGTGGACGTGTCGACGATGGATGTGATGTTTCTGCGAAAAATCAGCGTGCAGTCACTCCTCACGATTTATATAATGAATTCTGTATTTCAAATATGTAGAATTTACCTGGCCGTGTAGCTCCTCCACCTTCGGCATTCAGGAAATTTGTATTAGCGTTCGTGGTTTGATGACGTTGGCCATTGCCTAGAATTGTGTGATATGCTATAATGTTCATAACATATTGTATAAAAAATAAGTGATGATACGATATATCATATATGATGAATGAGAGACAGACACTCTACCTCTTGAGGTTCCAAATCCAAAATAAGTTTCATATTAATTAAATATCTAGGAATAGAAATACTACTGGATGTATCGAGAATATTGCACATACCACTGGAACTATGAGAATCAGTGGAACCATGAGAATTGCTATCATGGGAACCACCACGAGAACTGCTACTATAGGAACCACCACTAGAACTGCTACCATGGGAACCACCACGAGAACTCGAGGAACCATGTGAATTGGATCCGCGAGAACTGGAACTACGAGATCTACTGGAACTACGAGATCTACTCGAACTGATCTTTTTTGCATCGATAATACCTATAGAAGAAAATACACATGACTATTGATAAATGAAACAAGTACAAAATTTTCCTTCCTTGCTATACTTGTTGATATATTATAAAAAGTACACTATTAACACTTACCAATGGCACAAAGTGCGAGAAAAAGAAATAATAACGTTTTATATCTCATAGTTACTGAACGTAGTTTTGTCGTCTTCAATGAACTGTTGAAACCAGAATGCGCAAATAAGGACGGATATGCGTACAGTTTTCTTTATCAAAGAAAACTTTTGTCTCACAGCTGCACTACTACTGAGAATGTTATCTGTATAATTTTCTTTGAAATCGCAATGTCTACACGTGACATAGGGTCACTGTTCATGACCTTATGTGGATATCATTTCATGTAATCATGAGAACGTAATTCATAATAAAACTTTCAGTTTATTCACAGTAACAACCTTCACCAATATATACATAAAAACTATGCAATATTTGAACAAACTATAAAATATATAACAAATGTTATAATGATTATAAGTAAACATGAAAATTGATCCCTTTTTAGTTGGAACCAATTTGTAGTGCAAACCTTCATCTTCATAATTAATAGCTCTTTAAAAGTATAAATAATTGTTAGCACAACGGCCAACATTTACAAAAATACTGAAATCTGTAATTTGCAGGACATATACTGAATTTATTCCTCTCTGGCGATATATCTGTCCAAAATTTGTTCACTGGGATAGTCTGGAACTGATAACTGACGGAATCCTTCATCATCCACAAAACAAATCTCATGACCATCCTAAAATATTTGATCACACAATTGGCACTTGTTTTCACTAAGTGCAATGCAATATAAAGAATTTATGTAATTGCACTTACTGGATCGGCGAGGATGATGACCCTTACAGAAGCCTTTCCTGGTGTATCTAGTGTGATTAAGTCTGTCAATATTACATTTCCATGATCCTTGATTCTCTTTTGAATTTCTGGCTGCTCATCATGAGGAACAGAGAACGCTATACGCCCATAAGCTTTAGCATGATCAACTTTGGTTCCTGAAAACACACGATAAATTATTTTCTATTCATAGTACATCCATTATAAATGATTGCCTCAAAGCTCTTACCAATATCTTGGAATTCAAGTTTAGCCTGATCATCAGTGTAGCCCAACAATATGCTTTTGTCTGTTTCATTAAATACTTTCAATTTCAGTATATCTTTCCAGTATGCGATGGTTTTTTGAAGATCAGAACTAGACAAAGTTACCTTCTCAACTGGATCTACAGTTTAAAATATATATATTTTATAATAGTATATATATATATATATATATAAATTAATGTATAAATAAATGGCAAGAAAATGTTTTATTGTTTTTCCTTAATACCTTTATCCTTAGGTTGAGACTCATTAATTAGATAATACTTGTATCCACCTGGTGCTTCAAGAATAAATTTTCCATTTTCTTCACTTATAGGCCAACCACTTGAACGTGCTCTTTCAATAGCTTCTTTGGATTTAATTGTTATACCCTGAAAATCATTACCACGTTCATATTCCTTAATTCCGTAATTGTAAGTCAACTCTATCACGAAATGAGTATCCTCTGGACCATATCCTATCATCGTTTTGCTCCACCGATTTGCATATGGTCTACAAATGTATACAGAATAGTCGTATGAAATTTATTTATAATTCCACAGTTTAAAACAAAATAATTACGAACCCGTTGCAAGCGGCATCACAACCATCGGCAAATTCTTCGTGGCGTAATACCTATAAAAATATTCTATATAATAATAATATATAATAGTACATAATAATGTACTGATTTAAACAATCAATGCCAACTAACCTTCATCCCAAGAATTTCTCTATAGAATTTTGTTGTCAACTTCCGATTCGGTATTTTAAACACAAAATGCAAAGCTCGCCCGATGACCATTTTAACAGTCTTACTGTTCAATATTGTTTTCAAATAGATCGGATGAAACAAAATGATATTGCAGTATTGCAGATTGGATGCAACAGCTCCACCCACTAGTGTAAGTGCAACTATACGTAATGATTTATCAGTGAAGATCGCCGATTAGACGTTTTTATAGAATTCCAACTAGGAGCTGTCACGGAGCAATTAATTCCATCCGTCTCGCCCACTCCTTATATACCACGATTTTTCTGTTTATTATTATTCAGATAAATAATATCAAATTTTTAACGAAGTAAACGAAATACGCAACTATCTATGGACTTTAAGGTCAATTTACGAGAAAACAAAACAGAAAATGACACCTAATTACGGCAGAATAGATATGATAAAGTATATTTGATATGACTTTATGGTTTCAGGCAGGTCGGTATCTGCTTTACAAATTTCGTTACATTATAAATGGCATTATCTAGAAATGTGTAGTTACTTCATAAATACGAGATGGCGCCACCGGCGTTTTCTATTAAGACTGAAAAAGAAACTCATTTTGCTTGTAACTTCTGAACCATTGGAGGTACTGCAATAAAATTTTCATTAAAAACATATAAGAAATAATCATTCTTAACGTTAGATAAGTAAATATTTTTCAGATTTATTGAGCAATAATTTTAAATTAATTTTGATTGATATTTTTGATAAAAAATTTATTTAAATATACAGGGTGTTCCACAATTAATTTAACAGCCGAAAATGAGGGGTAGCTGAGGTCATTTGAAGTAACTTTTTCCTTTGCGAAAATTCAATTTGCGGCTTTGTTTACGAGTTATTAACGGAAAACACTGACCAATGAGAGGCGAGCGGGCGAACTACAACGTGAGCGATCATTCCTGCGCAACGTGCTCTGACTGCGGAGCTTGACAGAAGAAGGGGGGCTTCGTGCCGCGTTGGAATAAAAGAACAAGTCACAAAGCGTGAACTTTCCGACTTTTTTCTACGTGACAGTGATAATTTTAAGAAAAATGCTGCTCATCCTTATTTCAGAATGTCTGAAGAATATTTACGATCAGATGACAAGATCAAGCTAAAGATGAGTGTACAAAATCTTTTAGAGGACATGCTGCAGAACTTTCTGAACAATGGGCACCAGGAATTTATCGATCTGCCGGTCGCTGTTCACAATGCAATCGCAGCAGAAGCTTGCCACGGTGTGTGTAATATTCAAAATAAAGTACACAGCGTTTAAAATGGAAATTCTTAAAGTATATTTTTTAGTAGTAAACATCGATACAAGAATAATCTCATTCGTTCGAATGCATCGCAGTATTTACTATCATCTAATGTTCAGAGTATTTTAGGAGCCATCAAATTTAGAGATCCACTGACACTACAACAATGCAAGTGGCTCTCGACGCTACTACAAGAAAAAGATAACCACGCGATGCGCTCACTGGAGACCATCCATAGTGCTTGTACTAGAGCTGCCAGAGTAAGAAAAACGGAGCGGAAACGTCACCCAGGTATATAATTCTCGTAAACACATTCACATAGAAAAACCTAGATTATCTTCACCTTATAAGATAGCAGGCATCTATTAATATGCACACTGTTATACAGAAACTACAATTCCGTACGTATTCGATCTAAAAAGTAACTAAGTCTACTTAATTAATGCATACATTTCAATTTTGATTGACTGAATTAAACGTCGGGGTATGCGGAAATCAAAATGTCTTTCCCAAAGTAGTTGATTCTGCTCACATAGATCGTGAAATCCGTTCCTCCGAGTGAAACTGGACAGGGGCTGTTCGGCCGAGCGAAGAAGCACATCGTGTACAGAGCAAATTCTAATTCGGGTGATGTGCCGACAAATAATGTGCTGACCGGTTGCACTATTCCGTTCAGGCTTGAGCGCAGCTTGATGATCGCACCTTTCTGCAATTGTTATCAATTTAGAGTACAAATTAGTTATTAAAAGTACAACAACTAAGAATGCATAAGGATCGAGCGTCGTAGATAACTTACGTCGCCCAGCTTGGTCTCTTTCATGTATCCAAGATAGTTGAGCTTCTTCGCAGCTTCCTGTTTGGCGTAGTAGATCCAATTGTGTAATCCAAGGATATCGTTATCGAACTGTTCAGCTAGGAAAACGGTCTCAAAACCAGAACTGGATGGGTCTCCGTCGATTCGCTTGAATTGAGAGAACCAAATGCGCTTCATGGAGTCCTTGAACTCGTACTCATCGTCCGGAATGTATCCTTTCTCAGCCAAAAACTTCATGGTAGACTTCATGACCTCGGTCTCCATGATCTTGTCAAGAAGTTCTGCCTCTTTGCGACGCTCCTCAGGGGTGACTACCTCTTTTGCCCTAACGTCCAGCTCGTAGTTGTCGTGCAAAGGTAATATTGCCTTCACAGTCGGAAGATCGTAGGCCTCGACTTTCACCTCCAACAAGCTGAAACAGTCGCAATCATCCTTCTAGGTAATATCAACTTAATAATTTCCTGATGTATCCGAATCGCCCGATACATACGGTTCAGATGCATCGTCCGAAGTGGTCTCGTCATTCTTCTGTCCCTGTTGCTTCATAGTTATTTGCGAAAAAGCATTGTTGTCCTTCTCTTTCTGGTACAAGCTCTCCGTTAGCTTCTTGAGGTCATCGTTCGAAGTAACGAATCCCAGCGGATTAGGATTGTTTTGGGTGGACTCCTGAGAATTAGAATTCGCGGGTGGAGCATTGTTGGTGCCAGGGTTGTTCTGTTGAGTCTGTGGAGCGTCGGCAGCAGTTTGAGCTGCAGGTTGAGCCATGGGAGCAGCTCCAGGGGCGGCTACAGGAGCGGCTGCAGGAGCTGCTGCTTCTGGAGCGGTGCCATTGTTGTAGTAATTGTTATAAGTGATTTCGGTGTGCGAAACTGGTGGTACAACACCGGATGACCCCGCGCTGCTTCCTCTAGTGCCATAGATCCCTCCGGGTATCAATCGATTCACCGCAGCATTCACACCGGCGCTGACTCCGGCGTAAACGAACGCTTCCTTTGCTAACTGCCCAATGCCTGGTTTCGACGACTGCTGGAGGAGGATCGTCTGCTGAGGCGACGGTCCCATGGAACCGAACGCAGACCCGTAGGATGGTTGTCCGAAACTTGGGTAGTGTCCACCCATAGATGGACTATTGTAGTGCGGCTGTCCACCATAGGGAGAGTGTCCTCCATAGGGTAAATGTCCTAGACCACCAGGGTTATAACCTGGACCTACCGGACCATTACCTAGTACGTGGCTGTTCGCGGACGAGGGATACGAGCCAGTCTGTTTGGGGTATCCGCCTGAAAGTAATTGTTCGTCTAGTCTCTCTGGACGCTCTTGTCATTTTAAGATTTCGAATTGATAACGGATCCTCACCAAGTACCTAGGTGAACGTTAATTACCTTGGCCTTGGTTGTAGGTCTGCGATCTCTGCGACTGCGAGATGTGGGTCTGCGAGTTGTAGGTCTGCGACGTCCGTGAAGGAGATTTCCATTTCAACCGTGCAGCTTGGACATCCGCTGTTCAACGTGGAAACATTCAAACCGTTACAAGTTACACCTTGTGGAAGCCAAAATATTTCAGAATAGCAATTTTTCAAATCTACACGCGAAGCGAATCCGCGCGAACGGAATTCACAGAAATCTGTTGCGGCGGCTGAAATTCGCCGAGTCATACGCACACAGAAAATCGTGCACGGGCTGCATACGAACGCACGAAAATTTGTGCGATTAGAAGAGCGATCGCGCGAGATTGCGTGTGACGCGGCTAATATTTCATAATCTTCCGCCCACTGATCATGATCCATCATTGATCGTGATACCAGGTTTTAACAGTTTAACAAGCAGCTAAATAAAATCATGATATACTATTAACACAGTACTCGCGACCCTGTACGGCCTTTGAATTGATAGGAAAAGCGGCATGTTTTCATTACTCGTAGAATTTTCATTCGATAATATGATAATGGAGAAATTACGTTAGATCCATACTCGTTCATCGAACGTAATACTCTCTGAATTTATTTATATCGCACCGACCCTAACGTTCAATTGAACGAATAGATAAAACGTTTTTCCTTTTGAAATGTCATACACATAACAATTAGTAGCGGGGCCGACTTCTTTTTCGTCACCATGATTACGAGTCATTTAAATTCTAATATACTCGATTCACTACAGAGAAACATTACATAAGTTTCTTTGTTTCTTTCCCACAGAAAGCTAGCAAGGTAAAAGCGAAACTGAGAGGACAATAATTGAAACTATTCATAAATTGATATTCGCGTCAACGTTATCAGGTTCACACCGCTTATTTACTGTTTATTCAGCAAAGATTTAGAGACGGGTTTGTCATGGTAACACGTTATCGCGTTGAATTCTGCTCGACGAAACACTATTGTGGAGCGGATTCCAAGTTTCAGAGGACCACTTTAACCCTTTCATGAGCACGATATAAATTTTCAAAAAATTAGAATATTCGCTTACCATAATTTTATGATATAGTAATACAGCTGTTACTCGCTTTCCTGATATTTTTAATTTTTCAACCATCAAAATTAGGGGTGGTGGGACCTATATGTATATAGATGGCAGCACATTTCAACGGTGAGAACATTTGAGCCTGGCGTCCACATATGCGCTAAAACTGAGTGGGAAGCCTAGTTTCCAGTGCCTATGAAAGGGTTAAATTCATTAGGAGCTCAATGTCACTCGCATGGCCAAGACTTTCTAGAACCGGTGAGGGGCTTCTGCGACGTACACACGAACGCTTCTTCAGTCCTATTAAACGTGGACAAGTGAATAATCACTCGCGTCTTGGTGTCCGAGTAGGTACAAGAGCAATTGTCCCTCCCCCGATCTCGCTGCGATCTATTTCATGCAATTCCGCGTTGTAAACCGATTAACCGAGTCGATAGAACATTTTGCACTCGTCTTTCCGGTTCTCCTTTGACGAAGACAACAACCGAACCGCCGAAAAACTTGAAACCCACCTTGTAGCACAGCGGTCTATGGATAACAAAGATCAGATTTATTCGTCAGTTTTAGCGGCGCGAAGGATCTCTCTCGATCCCGTTAAACGCAGAAGAGTTTCTCTTTTACGAAAGTTTCCTTGTCTATCAGCTAGTCGACTCGAGTTTCCTTGATCGCAAATGTCCGATATTACGAATACACGTATATTTACTCGATGAAAATGACTAAATACACTCTGGATGACGCGAATTCATTGTCGGATGTCGGTGATACGAATGCCTGCGTAAAACGAATCATTCACGTGACGAAAAGATCCTTTGTTTTGACTCGAAACGACTCGGCTTCCACTTTTCACTTACCAACCACGAGCAGGGCGAAGATCGTGCAAAGCAAAAGCAGCTTGTTACGCATGCTGCCTGTTTTTGGCTTCCCCGATGATCTAGTTTCCTTTTCGATCGGCTTTCTTGTGAGATTGTCCGCTGCGACGATGCGATCTAGGATCTCCGCGAATATCGATGCTGACTGTTGGACGGCTGGCCCGTTACTGAAACGCTTCCAACCGAAAACATTCACGCTTGCACACGCTGAACTCGGTTCGGAATTATAGCGTTGCGTCTGTCCTGGGCTTTCTCCTTGCATTGATCTTTGACGCGATCGAGATCAAGTGGTAGGGATACAGCGATCCGACAGCAAAACACAGTTCGCGGAACGATCAAAGCTCTTTGTGAGATTTGCGCGGCTCCGAGTTGTTGCTCTTCGCGCACGTTAGTTACTCGATGTTCGTTTTTAATCTCTGTCTAATCGTGCAATTGTATCCCTTATGTTTCAGCGCAGATTAAATTTTAAGTCGTTGAAATCACACATACATATTTACGATCTGTAAGTAATATGTAAATTTAAAATGTTATAAATTTCTTCTTTTTACCAATTCTATTTTATCTACAACATACTGGCGAGAAAACTTTTCGTAGATTTCTGCCAAAATTTGGATTTTTGTATTAAAACAACATGATATGAGCCGTTTATTTTAAAAGTGGCATAAGTCACTTTAACGTAATGTGAAAAGTGGTGATTTTTTAATGTTTATACGAAATTATTTATACTGAGAAAAATATCAGTATCCTGAGATAACAAATACAAGTAAATCTTCTCGAAAATTAGCATCCATATTTTTAAACGTGTCAAGATGCAAACCCTTAAATATATCGACTTCAAAACAAAGTAACTTATGCCACTTTCAAAATAAACGGCTGATATGTGAGAAGGCATTCGAAATCTGTTTGTCTGGCTTGTAATTGACTCGTAGTACTGAAATTTCGAAAATTTTCAAAAATCCCGAGTGTCTGAAGAACATCATAATCTTCGAGGAGGTATCCTGAAATTCTTCGTCTGGATTGTGATTGACTTGTACTACTGAAATTTCGAGCAAACGAGATACAGTAAATTCTCCGTAATTTACGCTCAAATTATACATGAAAATAGACAATTTGGGAAGAGATAGTCGCCGATTGTCAACAACTAAAAAAACGAGCAGCGAGGCTCGAATAATCGTATCTCTGTCATTTTTGTGCACAATCTGAGCGTCAAATACGGAGAATTTACTGTATCTCCCTACATGTCATGTTCTCCTGATACAAAAGCTCGAATTTCTGCAGAAGTTTCCAAAAAATTTTCTCGCAAGTAGTACAACTCAATCACAAGCCTGATAAAGAATTTCGTGATATCTTCTCGCATGTTCTTCCGATACAATTATCAAGTAGTTTGAGTCAATGGAAAGTTAGACGTTGAAACTTTTTCATTGGTATGAATGGGAAAGGAATTACATTACAGTTCTTATTATATTTTACAATCATTTTACAACAATGAAAGAGAGTCAGGACGAAATTAGTATTCATTGTATGCGCCCTTGCTTACACCGACACCGTCGAATCTTAGCATCGACGTAGCGAGTCAGTGATGATAGACCAAAATTGCGTCATTTTGGGAAGCTGGCGCTATCCGTGACAAAACACCGAAACTTGTAATCAATTATCAACGTATCAAGATAACTCCGCAGGCGAAGTATAGAAACCGATTGTCGGTAATTTGTTAACAGTTTGAACGTTTTGTCACTAGCCCAATTGGCGCTATTCGGACCCCGAGCGAAGCTTCATTTTCTCTCCAAAAGAGGCGCCACCGTCGTCTATATATGGACTTCTACTCACAAGTTTCCAACATTTCACGATTATAATTTTGGCGGCGCACGTTTAAACGGTAAAACGACCAATTGCCAGAAGTATCGATGTTGAAGAAATTATCGAGAAAAACGTTTCAACGGATCGTTTGAAAACAATAATTTTATTAAAGTTCTTATAAGAAAAGACAATACAAGCAAGTTATATTCTCCTTTAAAGTTTGGAGAACTTACGTTAGGTTGCATTTACATTAATTTTTACACACTGTTTGTATACAGTTGAACATTAGTATGCAGTCAGAATGTTTTGAATAATTAGATGCACAATTAGATGCGCATCGTCCAACGTAAACATGTTGAATTGTGCAATCAGTTCCGCAATAAAAAAAAACGTGATAATGTCCTGATATTTTTATTTTAAAGTTGATCTGGATTTCGGAACGACACAAATCTTTTACGTTGACATAAAAAACCATTCGTGTTACATTCATTATGGAAAAATAGTTTGAATAGGTTTTTTTAGTTACATGTTTATATTATTTATAGAATCGTTCGCAATACATCGATATTGGAAGGTGAAACTAAGGCGTTTAATCACAATTGATACAGCACACGAACATTATAAATATCAGTATCAGAAAATTCATTCTACCAGTTCTCAAATTTTTATCAGCAATATTAATTGAATATTGTTAGTTCGATGCCTACTAAATACAAATTGCATTTTATCACGTAGAATAATCGTAACAAGATCTTCATCAGAAGAATAGGATATTTTAAATATCGTTTAAACGTAACACAAAGATACTATCACTCATATATTTACAAAATATGCAGTATAATTTAAAATAATAATGAACGTTATTTTATAAATACTGCATATGAGTAATACTGCTCTTTGTATATAACTTAGTAACGAGAGTAAAATAAGAAAAAATTAAAACACAACCAACAGGACTTATGTGATAACTTATCATTAAATTTCTTTTATCTACTACACGCTACACTGATATCTGATTGCAGTGTGCTGTACAAGGTGTGAAACTAACTTCTCTAATGCGATTTACAATGCGTAATCAATATAAAATCAAACTCTGTGCCATAACTATAAATATATAATGAATAAATTTTATTGTAATCTGTAGAGTTGTTCCTTTAAATTACATTGCTTCGTGTTTCAATGAAACTTGAGTTCCCATTTTTTATTGTACCGTACGTTATATTAAAAATCTAATGTATCTAAATATCTCAAAAATATTGGCCCTTGTAACGAAGGATATATGCTATTATGCAAGCATCATTATGTTACACGATTTCTTCTCAGTTTGTCCTTAGTTGGTAATTAAATATTAGTAAAACCATGATACACATACTTTTTTCGTTTCTGATCCGCAATAAAGTTATTTCATTTCGTCTCGATATACATCGTTAATCGAACAGTTCCGAACGATGCACAACGATCATTATATTGTAAAACAAATTTTATTAATAAACTTATAAATTTCTTATAGTACAATTACTGGTACATTTAGAATCTCGTGTTTGTTCATTTAAAAAATTTGCAACCAAGACTAGAAACATTCTATCGCAGTGATTCAGATTTCCTTAAATACTTCATAAACATGAGGACATAAAACTAAACGATAAAAAAGTCGGATACATTGCTGCGGAGTAGAGAATACAATTGAGGTGAAAATTGCTTTTTGATTTAAACATTTTTCGTATCGGCGTGTCAAGCTCTAAGCTCTGTGAATGACATATACATATGCGTGTATGTGTATATATGTACACTCTGTGAATGTTTTTCTTTCAAATTCTGCGTTAAATGCAAGGAAATGCATAAAGATATTCATACGTTGCAACGGTACTGTATTTTTGTATGCAAATACGTATACAAAATTTCCGTGCCATAGTATGATCAAGTATTAAAGAAAATGATTTCTTCTTAAGAGGCGAATGATACATACGCCCGACGTTCAATAAGACTGTAACACCGGTCTCATTGAAATTGTTGTACATTTACACTCTTTCGATTTGTAAAGTTCTAGTTTGTCATTGGAACAGATACATTTATATAAAAATGTTTCTCGTTACGTTATAGTAACCATAGAAAAAGTCTAATTGCTATGCGTAGTATACGACGACAACAGATGTTCATTCTTATGCGCTCCAACTATTTTAGTTCCCCGAATAAATCAGTCTGGAAATTGCTTTCGATTTGGGCTATATACTTTTACCTCGTAATATCCAATTAGGCAGCATAGAAGATATGCCATCGACTCGCCCGTTTTTATTTCTATGGTACCTTTTTTCTTTATTTTCAATCAATGGAACCTGATTATCTTAAAAAAATTAATTTAGTAGGCGCAGGTTCAATCGTTAAGATTGCAATCGTAAGAGATTCGCTAAGAATATATACAATTAACGCTGAGGTTTGTCCGTAGGAACAAGGCACGGCTGTTTTCCGTCACTGAACAGCATCATTATTGGTTTGAAATTTAGCAATAAAGTATACATCTTACTTACTTCGATCGACCTTACCAAAACACGACTTTTTTTATTTCTGCCAAGTTTTCTGAACATTTTGTTACTAATTTTCACATCTACTTCATAGAATTACGAACTTATATAGATTTTCTAATACGTGATTTAAAAAATTATTTTTGTATGATTGACTTCGCATTGAAAAAATACTTTTTCTTTTTCTTCTTTTCTCTCTTTCTCTCTCTCTCTCTCTCTCTCTCTCTCTCTCTCTATCTTTCTCTCTCTTTCTCTCTCGAGTATCACAAATAGATGGATATTCCTTTGAAACAGTATTCGTGATGACCACTTCTAAACAAGAGCAGTAACAATTTGCTATTATATCTTTGCAATTCCATTTCATAGAATATTTTGCGATTACTTAAGATATTGTATTACAAAACACACATGCAGAATACTGTGAAAAACGCTCTCAAATGCTGCCGAGTCCTCCAGACAGATAATCAAGTGTAGACACATTTTCACTCTTTTCTTGTAAATAGAATATTAAATCTATCGTTTAAAACCACGTTTAGAACTATCGCCCAAGTGGAGGCGTCACATTAACAGATGTTAAATCATTTAACTTTTACAAGTTCGAACGTAAAAAGTATTAATTCTGTTCTTTATAATTAATTTAATATAAAGAAGCCGAATACACATAATTTGCATGTTTTTAGAACTTCCGAAGTATCGATGATATATCATAATATTTCATTCAAATGAATCTGATCCGTTATTCGTTCGTACAAAATATCATTGTCATTGTAATCATGACAGTTGTATTCTTTTTAATGTCTTCCACCGAAGACACGTTTCCTTCTTTACAATTATATCATAAATATTATGTTACAAATATAATGTTATGAAGAACCCCATATGTCTCACTGTATAAATTAAAATAAACATTCTGAGGAATGACTAACTATAACAAAGATGTATACAACTGTGCAAAAAATTTTCACAAGGAACATCGTTATCGAAATAAAAATATTGTTATTTCAACATCAAGCCTTCTTTGCATCCCATGACAGAAATATGGAAATCTGTATAATTATGTTCGTGTAATTAATGATAACAGATATGTTGTGATTAAATAATTTTTCATAGCAATAAAAACGGTGGTTGCAATTAACTATCTATTTCATATCTAGTTATAAACATTCACTTGGAATTGACAATTCATACACTCGTTAGTTTTATTAGTCAACATCAAGAGTAGTATTTAAGGCAGGAATATTTTTTTTGTTTGTTACTCTACCACATTGTAATTTCACTCGTGTCTGAACGTAATCTTTTATATAGAATAAAACGCTTTACCAGAAGCAAGAGAGCATGTATGTAAATATATTGTAATGAATATAACTAGATGTTATAAAAAATAAATGAAGGACTAGGAATCTTAATGGATCCTGATGGATCTTGGAACCTTCATTGGGCGATGCTTGTGTACCAACAAATGTTCCATACTTATAAAAGTTATCCAAAAGTGCTTCTTTTTCAACCCACCTATCATACAACCATTTAGATAATAATTCTGGTTCCCGAGGAACCTAAAAGACGATGATGCACTAAGTACTGAACAATTAAATGAAAAACAAAATAGCAATAATATACAATTGAAAACTTACCACTAAACTAGGAAAAACTCGGTAAAACAGTACTGTCTCACACGGTGGTCTGGAACCAGTTATAATTGTAGGTAAATCAATTGGTTTACCTTGAGGATATGCTATTGTTATATCAAGAACCCAATTGATTTCAGGTTTTGCTACTACCATACCTGTATGACAGATAGTTAACAATAACTTAATAAATACATAAGACGAAACACTGCTACAAAATTATAGTTTGTTAAATTATTTACTTGCTCTATTATCTAATTCTTGATTTGATCTATTATTATTATGTGATGGACCAACTGTATCAAATATAGTCTGCAATGCTCCTAAACGTGGCAGAGTTACATTCTCCAAAATAGGAAGATTATTTTTTTTAGCATATTTCTGCGAAGTCTCTCTTCTTTTACATAAAAAACCTCCTTCTGGAAACAGAACCATCCATTCCCTATTAAGTGGAATGTACGATTCTTTCAGATGTTTCTCAAGTTGCTTTAAACTTTCTTCTCTCTTTTTACGACCCTAGATAACAGAAAACAAAAATATTATTATTACATGCTACGATTTACATATAATGAAACTATTGTTATTAAATTAGTGAAATTATAGACTTACAGACACAATAAAGAAGTCCTGATGTAAAACAGAAACTATACCAAAGTTTGTAAATTTAAAAATCCTGTCCATAATCCACATTAGATTAGGCAACACGTTTGGTTTCGCATTAAATGTTGTCATTAGTATAGGAACATCACCAGTACTTTGATGGTTCGCTATTACTAATGTTCTGTCACTAATTAGTTTCTCTATATCATCACCTTGTTCTATAACTATAAATTGCATTATTATCATTATTAGTATTCACACTATAATTATCATAAATTTCAATTGTAAAAGCATTATATAAATATCTAGATACTTACTGTCGTAACCTGCGGACCAAGTCCACATCGATACCATTGCTAATAACCAATGGAAAAATAGTCCTTCGATACGCCAATATACTTGAGGCTGATAAACTTTTACAGGAAACAATAATGTCATCCATACTACATACGTTGGTATACAGTAAACATTGTT